ACGGTCTGCGGCCTCTGGGGCCCGAGGCCCCCTTTTCTTCGTCCTCGGAGGCCGGGAGCAGGCGGACCGCACCCGAAGGGGTTCATTCGTTTCCTCGCTCATTCATTCCACCCGAGCCCGAAGCGGCCTTTCGCGTGAGGCGATCATGGAGGCAGGGCGCTGTCTACGGCCCTTTGCCATTTTTAACGGGATCAGTCCCTGCAGCAACCCCCCATCATTGGCTGCCCATTCCATAGATGGTCAAATCGGAGGTATAGAAAGGTTAGGTCGCTTGATTTGGTCCCGGGCCGCCTGGCCCGAAGACCCTTCCCTTCGCCAGTAGGAGAACAAGGGGCGCCCTAGGAAAAAGGACTAAAGGATGGAAAAGGAGGCGATGGTTACAAGGAAGACTTTCAAGGCAGGCGCAGGCGTGGGTCTTGGGTTGGAGGTTTCAGGTTGGAAGGGATATCTTGGTGGTTAAGGACGGGCCACCCCGGGATTCCTCCGTGTTGCTTCTTGGCCTTTTTCTATTTAGTCTTCAGGCTTTGTCCTCACTACTAGTGTTGTCTGCCAGGTTGCAGCCCTGGATGGTTGACCTTGGGTGAGTCACTTAGCTCAAGGCTGCCCTTTCCTCTTCTGTTTGATGTCATTCATAACAGGACCCACTTCATTGGGTTGTTGCAAGTAAATGAGGTCATGGGAGTTCCTTCCCTACAACTGTCACCAGCTCATTGTTAATAGTCAGGGATTCCTGGAGGGTCGTTGGCTCTTAGAGCCTCTTGGCTCTGTTTGGAAAACGGGAACAGCCACATCTTTCCTAACTGCCATGTGAGAGGGTTATGCTCCCACTCCCCTACACTGTTACCTTCAGTTATGCGTGTTGCTTCTCGCAGTCCTCCAGCAACCCCAGGAGATGAGGACTTTTCTCATAGAGCTTTCCAAGGATTCTGAGGAAATGGTCTTAGAGAAACAAAATCACTTGTCCAAGATCACCATGCTTGTCTTGCTCCTTTTCTGTCAACACCCACCTGTGAGCTTCCTGAGAGCAGAGGCCCCTAGAAATAATCCGACCTCTCTCTGAAGTACCTTGCTGGATTATGGGTTACTGCCTCCTTACTTTGAAGATTAGGTGAACTAGAGAGCCGGCTCTCTGCGCATTCGTTGTCATTCTTAGTGTCTTTTTTCCTCTACTACAGGTCAGAGAAACATGGCTACAAGGCGAATGGCACAGGAGACTTTTGATGCCGTGCTACAAGAAAAAGCTAACAGATATCACATGGACCCCAGTGGTGAAGCCGTAGGTGAAGCTCTCCAATTTAAAGCTCAAGGTAAATTAAAGTGCTTGATTGGGAACCGAGGGGGGGCGGGTAATGAGGCATTTAGGGTCAGAGCAGGAGGATTTCAATCCCTATATTCCTATTTGTTAAGGGGAAATGAAGTTTTCTCTGGATCTGCATGTTAAATCACTATGTAGAAGAAGGTATAATCATTACCAGGAGCTTCTCCCCAGAAAGCCTCCCTCACCTAAAGAAAGATTGTTGAATCAATCTTCTGGCTCCATCCCCACCACCACTGCTCAGGTTTGAGCTCTTACCAGTTCTGGCTTGGATTACTTCAATAATCTCCTACTGAACGGTCTCTCAGCTTCTGGCTTCATTCCTCTCAAATCTGTCCTGACTACAGATCTATTCATGCCACCCTTGCTGGGCCAAGGCCCTGCTTGGACTCTCGGGGCTTCCCACTTTGGGGTTACATCCTCAGATAAGTGCAGGAGCAGGGAGGTAACAGTGATGTGTGCAAGACTGAAGGGTGGTGCAAGGGGTTGTGGAGCTGCTGAGCATAGGCCCTGCCTGAAAATGTTTCCCTTGGGAAAATTTTGAAACACCATGCCAGCAGAATCAAAAACGATGCCCACACGATTACAGGATGCCGTGGAGGTCCCTCACTACCATGCACAAGCCTCCCAACCCTTACTCTTTGCCTTGGGCTTTGTGTTTCAGTGATACTGTGCCACCTCTCTGTGCTTTGAATCCCTCCTCATCCCAACTCTGGCTGGTTGATTCCCTCCGGCATGCCTTCCTCAGGAAGCCCCAGCAGGACTTGAGGTTGATTTGGTTGCCGTTCCCGGCCCCAAATACACTGTGTGCTCACTCCTCTGTTATGGGCTGGCCTCCTCCAGGCCTCATCGCTGGGCCTGTGCTGTTTGCTGCTGCACCAGCCACTGAGCCAGCCTTGGCATGGAGGAGGGTTAGCATTGGTTGAGTGAGTCTTAAGTGCTTGCAGGAGGGATAACTGTTGTTACATGCTTTGGACCTGGAGAAACCAATTGATGGAGTTTTCAAAAATTATATGAGTAGTGCACAGAAACATAGCTGTTATCAAAGTTTGGAAGACTTGAGAAATGGTTAAGAGTATCATGTAAAAGTCTTTTTAGCTCCTTTCTTAACTATATTTGCAGTAGTCTGTGCATCCTTCAATTTTTTTAGCAATATGTAATCCAGAATACTTATGTGTTTATATATATACACACAGAGACATATACCTATATGTACTTATATATACATGTATATGTATATAGGGTATCCCCCAAAATATATACACACACTTTGTATAATTATAAGGGCAGTGTTTATTAAAATACATTTCATTTTTGAAATTGAGCTATCAGCTGATATTATCAGATTTATGTCTCTATACATTTTTGGGGGACACACTGTATACAGAGACATAAATCTTGGTATCTTTATCTAGAGACTCAAACACCAATACATACATTGTTACCTCAAGAAAGTTTGGGGAGCCCTAGCTGGTTTAGCTCAGTGGATAGAGCGTCAGCCTGTGGACTGAAGGGTCCTGGGTTCGATTCCAAGTCAAGGGCACATGCCCGGGTTGCAGGCTTGATCCCCAGTAGGGGGTGTGCAGGAGGCAGCCAACCCATGATTCTCTCTCATCATGGATATTTCTTTCTTTCTTTCTTTCTTTCTTTCTCTCTCTCTCTCTCTCTCTCTCTCTCTCTCCCCCCCTCTCTCTCTCCCTCCCTCTCCCATTCTGAAATCAATAAAAATATATCTCTCTCCCTTCTCCCATTCTGAAATCAATAAAAATATATTTTAAAAATAAATTAAAAAAAGAAAGTTTGGGGAGGGGTGAACTAGTAACCAAGTAGGTTGCTAGATGGTTCTGGAACCATCTCTTTGTCACAGAGCTGCATGGTTCATCAGTTGAACTTTCTCTGTCCCTGTTCTACTCTGCACTTTTTCAATGCCTTGGTTTACAAGGCATCAGAAAATCCTGTTGTACAGAAACCAGCCACCACGCTACCTCTAATGCTACCTCCCTCACCACCTCATCAGTAGTCATTAATACCTAGATCATCCCAGTGGACTCCTTGCTGGAACATCGACATTCACTTTCTTCCCTTTTGGTCTATTGCAGTGATGGCGAACCTATCACACGCGTGTCAGAGGTGTTTGCCTTCACAGTAGCCCGTGAGATCATTCCTTTGCTCTGAGCCCGTCTGTGGCTTTCCATCTTACTCAGACTATTCCAGCATCCCTTTGAGGGCCAGGCTTCATCTTGTATCTTCCTTCCATCTGTATCTCCCTAAATTTGCTGCATGTTAGAATCATCTGGGGACCTTTTAAAAACCCTGATGTCCAGGTCACACCCCAATGCTAGTTAGTTCATTAAATCAGGATGCGTGGGGGTCCCAAAGGGACTCCAATATGCAGCAGAGTTTAGGAGCTTCCTTCTTACCACTTTACCCTTCGTTCTCTCTGGTATATTCATTCTCTGCTGGTCATACATCAGGGATTTGTCCCTACACTCCCTCTGCCTAGAAGGGTCCCCCACAGTGTGGTCCCTCATGCCAAGCCTCCCCGGTATATTGTTAACTTCAGTGCCTAAAGCAGTGCCCACACACAGTAGGTGCTCGGTAAGTACTGCTGACCAAATAAACTTGGATTTCTATAAAGATGTGGCTTCCTTTGGTTTCACCCCATTACTACCTCATGGCATCTCTCTCTCCCTTTTCTTTTCCTTTGACTTTTGACTAGGTAATAGATTCTGATTTAAAAATTAGAAAGAGCCTGGTCAACGTGGCTCAGTGGTTGAGCGTTGACCTATGAACCAGGAGGTCACGGTTCAATTCCTGGTCAGGGCACATGCCCAGGTTGCAGTCTCGATTCCTGGTGTAGGGCGTGCAGGAGGCAGCCAATCAATGATTCTCTCTCATCATTGATGTTTCTTTCTCTCCCTCTCCCTTTCTCTCTGAAAACAATAAACATATTTTTTTTTAAAAAGTTAGAAAGGCACTCTGTACAAAGTCTCCCTGAGGCTCATAGTTTGCTTATGTTGCTACCTTCTTAGAGAGTTTCTTTGTACATGAATAAGCAAATGCAAATATAGGTTCCTATTTTCCTCATTTCTACACAGAGGGGAGAACAAAATCACATATTATTCAGTTCCCATTGTGGCCTCTCTTGATGGCTTGTTTAGCTTCTGCCTTTTCTCTTATCTGCTTTAGTCTCTGTTTTTTTTCAGAGGATTCATTGGCCCAGTGGACCTTTCAGAGGGAGTATATCAGCCAGCTTTGGGTCATATGCTCAGCTTGTGGTCCAGTCTGCTGTAGTGGGTAGTGTCAGACGTGGCTTTTGCCTCGGTGGCAGTATGGGCTGAGAGTTCCTACTAGAAGGCAAGGAGGGTGGCAACCTCTAAAAAAACTGTGTGCTTCATGATAGAGGTAGAAATACACAAGTGTCCCAGTTACAATAAAAAAAAAAAAAAAAAAAATCCAGATTGCCCTAGCTGGTTTGGCTCAGTGGATAGAGTGTCAGCCTGTGGACTGAAGGGTCCCAGGTTCGAT